GTACATGCGAAGGCCAATCTCAACATGCGCGATCCGGCGCGCGACACCCCACGTATTTTTGGTTTGATTTGGTGGAATGGCAACGATCTCGTTGGCCGCAATGGTATTACATCATATGATCATTCATGGCGGTATGAAGCCGCGCATCCTGATCGCCTCGGTACACAGGCACGAATTCTTGGCAACGTTAAACTGTTGGCCGAATGCAAGGAGGCGTCGGACGAACTTTGCTGTATCTGTGGAATTTCATCATATTTATATGAATTACCATCTTTTGTCGACGACTTTTGGAAGGAGATTAACGAAATCATTGAAGGCCTCGGCGTCCACCGATTTCAGCCAGACAATCTCATTTACCAATCGGATCGTGTGGACAACTGGCATCTCAGAAAAACCCAGGAGAACATCGACCGTTTCGTTAGCTACGTAACCTCAATTGTCAAGTTGTCCTACCATGCGAACGTCGTCGAAGCTTCCCGAGAGGGAATTGCCGCGTTGAACCGGGTGAGAAGGTTTCGTCACAACTGGGACACCGACGAGATCGTCAAGGTTCCGGATTCTTGTGTACAGCTTCTCAATGAATTTGCCGAGCAACGAACGAAGCGTTTCCAACACACCGCGGGTCAGAGCAGACAATTTACAGTCGAAGAAGTCCAAGCGTTCAGTCCTTTTGAGTCGAACGATGTTTCGGCTGAGGAACTGAAAGCCTTCGTTAAACTGGAAGGCGAAGACCCACAAGATGTGTTGCAGCTCATCAACCTTGTCCCCACCGTGGAGCTTCCGGAGGAGCAGACTGCGTTGAATCAACCTGCGGATGAACAAGCTACAGCCGGCGTAAATGCCGAGCCGAAAGTTGAAACCATTGATGCAGGCGTACACTGGAGGGACTGATGATGTGCCCGGGCCCGACACCAACCCAGCAGGCGTAAATGCCTTGCCAGCGGCGCCCGAGCAAGATCAACAAATGGCAAAGATTGAAGCTGATGTCCTTGAAGTTTTGGCGGATGAGCCAATGGCCCCCGAGGCAAGCAATGAACCCGTTGCAGGCACGTCGTCTTCTTCCGCTTCAAGGCCACCTCTGCCACGCTTACGAGGCAAAGGACAGGGGCAGGGTACTCCTGCAACCGCTCCCGTAACGGGGAGCTTCTTGGAGCCTGATGACGATGTCGATCTTGACTTGAAATATTCTGGAAAAGGGAAGGGTGTACTCGTTCGCGAGATCAAGCCCAACCCCGAGTACAAGAATATGAAAGTTGAAATCGAAGAAGTCCTGAACAAGTCTTCTTACCCGGATCACCTGTTGAAGGCCATCGGCAACGGCGGAATCCAGCTTCTTGAAGAAGAATTAGGCCGTAACGCCAAACAGTATACATTGCACCATATCACCGGCCATCGATACTACTACGAGTATGAGGACAACCATGGCTTCCCATGGGAATGGGGTTGCTCCTGGCCGAAGCACGTACGGCGTGGAGTTTCAGGGTTGTTGCGTGGGCATGTTCCCGACGTTTCAATTTACGATCCGGCGTGCTATTTACCAGTTTACAAATTATTGAATTTGGCCAAAGCAAAATTTCCAGACTACGCGGATTCATTCAATGTATTTGAACTTATTTCTATGGCCATCTACGACGACAAGGACAGAATTGAGTTTCAATGTGTTTAGGATTCTCGTGTGAATGAAGCCCTTGAACTTTGGGCGGCGCCTGTGGAGGTGAGGTGTGGCCAAGGCCATACAGATGATGTCCTTGAGACGAGGTCCAACGAAGTTTTGGCCAAGACGATCTACTGTCGTCCCGATCACATGCATCGGTATAACCGTCAATTTACCGCACACGGTAACAGGGACATCCCACCCCGGCTTTATCACCGGACGCATGAAGATGCCGCACGTGGTATAATTGCAAATGGCCTCCTCCCCGGCGGAGGTGCCGGCGGCCCGAAAAGCAAAGGAAATTCCTTCTTTTCGATACTACCTCTGGGAGACCAGAAGGCGATGTCCGGCGTGCGCGCGAATCGACCCGTTGAACTATGCTTTTCTACAGCTGAAATCATTGAAGCAGGCGTTGACCTATTTTTGACAAATTCGAATGCAATGATTACAAGTCATCACGTTCCCAACACGTGCATCCTCTTCGCCACCCGTGCCCGCGTAAATGCGAAGCCAGAAGTGTTCTACTCAAGGCCACAGGCTATTGATCCGGCGATGGACGTTGGGGCACCGCAGGATGACGTTACATTGATTCCAGGTGATGTTGCCGAAGTGAAACAACAACAGGATACAAATGAAGCCACACCTGAAGAGCGAACAGCCGCGAGCAGTGCAGTCAAGAAGGAGTCCATGGAGGCGAACCAAGAGACGGCTGTACCGCAAATCGAGAGTGGATATTTTCTCCATCTTCGAACTTTTAGCTGTGACAAATGCACCACGCTTTCCTTAGCCGGAATGGCGTCGTGTCACAGGTGTGGAGCAGTTTTCCAAGGCAGCACTACGGACGGTCCTGTTTCCAAATTCATGAGATTGCAAATGAGGCGTGCAAAGACCGTGCAACAGCAGGGGGGTGTTCCTACAAACATTACGGCCACGAGCATGCTTAACAGCATTGTCGCACAGGATATGCAACCTGGTCGTCCTCCCGCACGGGGCAGTCCCTCAGTTGACAGTCAGATTATTCTCGCCGCTCGAGGCCGTCTTCGAAGAGCGTTGAAAGAAGGGTATGAGAATGTCTACGATCGATTCAATCGTGACGATGTCTTCGCTACCTCCTTAACCGGAGAGGGTTGCACTGCATTTGATGCGGCGCAGGAAGACTTGTATGCGTCACTGCAACTGCCAGCACCCTCACGATCCGCAAAGCAGAGACCCAAAGGGAAGTCAGTTGTCAGTGATTTGGATCGCCAAGACAGGGTTGATCTCGCCAAGCTCGCGTACATTCGATGCGGCGTTGACAACTTACATACCTGTTTCAAGCAAGGCCTCGACGAGAACTTTCTGATCAGCTATCGTAGCGAATTTTTATCTCTTCGACAATTTGCTGCCGTAATTGGCAACAGCCGAGACGAGATCAAAATCCAGGGTTTTATCCTGACCGAGGACGTATATGGCGATATTCATTCTATCCGCATTCCTCGTGGAGACACGATGGGCATTTACAAGATTTTGAGCGAGTTCGCGGAGCAGAATGAGGACTACGCCAACGCACAATATCAACGAAACGCCCGACAGTCCGCAAACATGCAGGAGCGTGACCGAGGGCAATCAATTCAGAATATGGGTTTCATGAATGTTGAGCAACGCATGGCGACGCCATTGCCGAGATTCGCGGATTGCGGTCAGGACATGACTTCCTATGAAGTTCATCGACTCGAGCAACTTTTATTGGAGTTTGGACAGCGCGATGCACCATCTCCGCAAGTGCCTGTAACTAGGCCACCGTTGACTCGGAAGCGATCTCAATCGTATATCGAAGGCGTTGCCGACGCTGACAAGCGACCAAGATTGCAGTGGAGGAAGAAGGAAGAGCGTGACCAGTCATGCCGCATTGCTTCATGGGTTGATGACCGTACTCCTCCACCAGGCGTGCCACGTCCACCTGCTCCCGTAACTGGGACGCATACATCATCAGTGTACAGGCCGCCCCATCCTCGTGGTCAAGAAGCAGCGTCGCCAAAGGAGGACTTCCCTAAACGGAATGTCAGTGCAGATCCGAACATTGTCGGCAAGGGCAAGGGCCAAGGCAGTTCTTCTATCAAGGGAACGAAGGCTCCCGTAAAAGGGACGCCGCGTGGTTCAGTCGGCCGTGCAATGTCAACTCGTCCTGAGGACAGCGTGCCAAGGCGAGGCAACATAACATACCGAAAGACCTGTTAGGTCCACCACTGCACACTCCACCGCCCGTTCCATCGGCAAAACCGCAAATTCCAAAGCCACCGAGCACGCCACCACCCTTACCGGTGAAAGCGGCTCCATCACAACCACCAGCAAAACCTTCACCACCGAAGGTTCCACCTCCAAAGGTGCCTCCACCAAAAGTTCCGCCACCAGATATTTCAAGCAACGTCAGCGGTATTCCGGCAAATACTCGGCCGCCAGATTTCAATCTTACGCCGAAGCCACCGCCACTTACAGAATTATACAATCGGGTGCAACCTTCCCTAAAAGGAAAGGGCAAAAGCAAGCAGCAGGCGAGCCAGCGTGGAGGACCCTATGGTTCACAGCAATGGAATTTACAGAATGTACCGCCACCACCGTTGCCTTCAGGAGTTCCGTCAACAGCAGCATCATCCTCCAATGCTCCCGTAACTGGGCAGCCAACAGTATATGGAACGGATGATCGACCATTGGAGCCCTTTGATTTTCCTGGGGTACAATGGCAGCGCACGGACCCATGGGCTGAGAATTATTGGCCCAATCACATGGAACTCCGACAATGGATGCAACAGGGATGGCATGATGAAACGGAGCGTTTTGGATATAGGCATTATTGAAACTATGTTGAACAGCTACCGTAAATGGTATGACAAAAGCCTATGAGTGTTGAGATGAAGATCACCTTCTGACGCGCTGTGAGATGATGTTTCACTTCATTGTCTCACTTCCCCAATGCATCCTTAACCGGATTGCTGTAGTCGGAGAGGGAACTTTTAATCAATGCTCTACTTAGAACTGGGGCAAGCATGTTTAACCACATGCCGAGTGAGCCGAAAGGTCGTACATTAGGGTAGCTACGTTCTCTTTGTACAGTGCATGCACGAGCTTGATGAGGGACTTCTAATATGATTCCTTCGTCGCTAGAATTCAATCCTCCCCGAGATTTTCCCTACGGGTAGCTCCTTGTAAAGGGGGGTGTTGAAGTTCACCTCATCCCTGTGGACCCCGTAGCGTGGACTCTCAAGGTAGAGTAAAATAGCCCGCTTACCGGACTAGCAGGGTTAGCTAGGTAGCTAGTGAAGTTAGAGCTGATCCTGTAAAATACAGTTTTGATCCCAGACTGGGTGAGGTTTTCATCAAGGCTCGACCAGACGCTGCAAAGCTTGAGCCCTGGGGCTGTTTTTGCTCCACCAGACCCTGCCGTCGCCTCACGTCCTAGGTCCTGGGACCTGCTTTCGGCCCGGATGTCATCGTTTGGTGGAGCAGCGGCCCCAACGGAACATGGAGCAGCGGCCCGATGTCTTTTTACCGGACATGGAAGCAACATGGAAACACGAACACGTCTTTCACATGCAGGTGTTTGGTGCTCGTGTTTTCTCTCCATTCCAAGGATGCACTGAAAGGGCTTCTTCTTGATGGAGAAGGGCCGAAGGCAATGCATCCAAAACCATCTCTGGGCCTACGAGGTATCCTCTAGCTACCTCGTCAATTCAGGTGATTGAGAGTGAAAGAGTAAATGAAGAGGAGGAAGAGCGCAAGAAGGAACCCCGTCTGCTGTGGCGTCTGGCTGTTTTTGGACCTTTGCTTGTGCCTTTGTGCCACCCGGAATCCTCTCGACCTTTGCGACCGTGTGGTGAATCGAGGCAGAAGCTCAGGCCATGACCAAAGCGGCAGCCAAGGCGGCAAACAAACCTAATAGCCTCCAACCTGGTAGCGTCCGATCGCTCCTAGTAGTAAGGCCAGGAGCCCCTAGTAGCGAACATGGCTCCTAGTAGTAAGGCCAGGAGCCCGTAATGGCTTCTTGTTCCTAGTAGCGCCGGAAATGGATATCATGAGTCTTGGAGCGAAGAGTCTTGCAAAGGCACCCCTCATGCCGGAGAGCCAAAGCATAGTGCTCGATGGCTCAGTGACTCAAGGCTGAAACCGCAATCAGGAAACCCAGCAAGGCTAGGCTTACTTCATTTTGTCCCAATTCAATTGTGTCTTAGGCCCATGGCCCCAATGGCCAAAGCTCTGCCAGTTGGGCTGGAAACTTAAGAACCAAGCCCAGCATCACACAAACTAGTTATCATTTTTTTCCCGGAGAGCTTCACAGAGAAACATTGACCTGGAGAGGCCCCTGCCTCCCCAGGCCCCACAGATGCAGGCGGGGCGGAGATGTAAGATGTACCAAGATGTATCAAGATGTTGTGAAACGATATGACATCGCCAAATTTCAACTGTCACGTCTTACTTTTGGTTTGGCGCCTCACAATTTGGCGCGTTTAGTGGCCTTGCCTTGCTAGGCGCCGCAGCGGCCTTTGCCTCCAACGATGCCAGCCATGGCAAATCCCATGATGGCTCAACTGCCAGGCATGCCAGACGCTTAGGTGCTTGGGATAGTTGATTTGTGAGAATTTTTGCAGTGAAGGAGTTACGTTGGCAATATTTGAGGCTTAACTAGGCCAAGGCTTTGCAATATATTTCTTTCACTGAGGCTTGGCTTTGGAGCAATGCCAGCCATGCCCATGGTCCCTGCATTGCCGGGTGCGATGCTGGGTGGCGCCATGATGGCACAGGCTTTAGAGTTTAATTGCGTCAGATCTTTCATGGTGGCCTTTGAGGTTGCTGTTTTTTCTCTATTTTTTTTGCTTTGCTTTTTTCTATGTATTCAATGTAATCCTTTTCAATGCAATTTGGACATTTGTCTTCAAGGCAGCAGAGGAGGAAAAGGCCAAGGAAGTCAAAGAGGCCAAAGAAGCCAAAGAAGCCAAAGAGAAAGAAGCCAAAGAAGCTGAAGAGGCCAGCAATGAAGACCCGAAGAATTCTCCACTTTGTGGATTGCGCTGTCGATGACTGTTGTGCTGAAACACTAGAAGAGGCCAGAAAGCGTGAAGAAGAGGCGCGGGCAGCACACAGCGTGATTTCCGAAAGCATGTGACTGAAATTCTTTTGCCACACAAGCTTGTCCTGGCCAGTTCCAAGTTCACTGTTGAGGTGAAGGCGAAGGAAGAGGCAAAAAAGGAGGAGCTTCCAAAGAAGGAGATCGAAAGAAAGGCCAAGAAAAACAGCGCCCTGAGAGTTTTAGCTGGCACTGTGGGTCTATGAAGTCTAGTTCTGATACGGTACTAGTAGCTCCTGGCCTTACTACTAGGAACAAGAAGCTACTAGAAACAAAGGGCATCGCTACTAGGAGCAAGGACGCTACGAACGTAGCTCCCAGGCCCCCGTGGAGCCGCCTCCCACCGAGTTTGAAGAGATTGTGAACTCTCTTCCTGCTGGAAGCCTGGAAAGCTGGCTTGAAGGCAGTCAACTGCTGAATGTCATGAATTTATTCATGTGGCTGCCAAAGGTCACTCCGTTCTGGAAGATTCCTGCACAAAAGACAGAGATTCCGTCAGATCCTCATATCCGGCCGAAAAAGCAGGATGTTTGTTGGCAGCGATTTCTTGAGCTGCTGCCCAGCTCAGGCTTGGAATAAGACTGCGTGTCTTTGACAGCGGCGGTGCTCGAGAAGTTGCGAGCGATGATCCCAGCTAGGAGTTTCATCAGTGCCTTTGAACGGACTGCGAAGACAAGTCATATCATGTTCCATACCTTTGAGGCATGGCGGTCACCAAGTCCTTAATCTTTGGTATGGAAGCCGAACGCCAGAGTCTCAAGAGCCAGAGAATGGCACTCTCTGTTTATTTTTTCAATTTTTGTTGTTCAACCTCTTCTGCCAGGCTCCCATGTCGTTGAACGACATGGACAAGGTGTCTATGCTGAACATGTGGCCTTGATCTATACAGCCAAGGAACGGGCGAAATGGGTACAGCCAAACGGGTCGTGCAGCGTTTGTGACGCTGAGCACGGTCGAATGCTGGTCGCCGCAGGGGTTCCATCTTCATCCGATTTCCGGCCAGAGCGTTCAATCTGCTGCAGTCTTAGGGGTCACAGAATGCTCGCCAGCTGAACCTTTACCCTAAATGAGGCTGTGACTCATCACCCGAAACTGATAGTGAAGCTTCGAACGGAAGCCGAGAAGTTGTGCCGAGCTGAGATTATTTCAGTCGCAGCTGACCCACATCTCACCGGATTCATCATATGTCTTTTGAGGCCTGATGAGAAGCGGAGCCAGGTCTTGAGCCTGTCGGGAGCTCAATTGATTGTGAATCAAAGCACATGTGTCACATGAAAGTATCTATTGTTAAGGCTTGAAGAGATGGAAAAGCACGAAATCCGCGCCCTGGTAGAAGAACGCTGACCGTTTCTGTGATATCGGCGGTTGTTTTTGGTGCAACATGATGATTGTATCAGGCTCAGTGCTCTTCCAGCCTGGCGATGGACGGAAGAAGCTCACTTGGCAATCCTGCGTCTTCAGCTTGGGTCGCTCTGTTCAATCCTCAGGATCTTTTCTCTGTGGACAAGTAGGCTAATAGCGATGGCCTCCAACCTAATAGCGATGGCCTCCCCCTAATAGGCCAAAATGCCAAAAAAAATGAGGAAAGGATATACTTTCTGGACCTGATCTCGAAAGCGGACCAATTGCCAGAGGACGACCCCAGCAACTTAGGGGGGTTGCTTCACAAGATTGGTAGAACATGGTAGAACTATGTGCATTCGACTCATTCGACCCGACTGTGTTTGTCCATACCGAATGACACGACATGCTCCGCTCAGAGACTTTCTTCATAACCCTGTCTTGCTATTTGCAGGAAGCTGGTGGTAGGAAGGTCACAGAGAAGCAGAGTACAGTCCTCACTTTCACAGCAGGTGTGTGAGACAGCAGGGTCATTGGAAAAGCACTCGAACGCTCTGAACCTCGACGTGGCTCAACTGACTACCGTCCATCAAGGCTCTCCTGCGCCAAAGGCAGAGGACATGATGTACGGGATGCATTCTGATGGAATGACATCCTCTGTTTCCTCCATGAGACGCTGCTCTTGCAAGGATGGAGCACCTGCTAATAAGCAGCAGGAAGAAGAGGTTCCAAAGCCGGAAGATGAGCCACAAGCTCCCAAGGAGAAGAGTAATGTGTCATGAACCGATACATGAATTGCGGACACATATTCGTTCCAGATTGGCTCTGATTCAGGAAGAAGAGGCGACAAAGCCAGAACCAGAGGCGGCGTGTCATCATGTGTTCCTTGAATCTTCCGTGTCCTGAAGAGATCAAATTGCGAGGAAAAGGCTAAGGAGGCCAAAGAGGAGATAGAGTGGGGTCCTTGTTGAGTTCCAGCAGCTCAGAGCAAGTCAGAAGTGATATCCCAAGGCCAGTCAAGGAAGAAGAGAAAGCTGACAAGGACAAGGTCCGAGAGAAAGCAATAGCTTAGTTCTTGCAAAAGCTTGGTTTTGTCGTCCAAGGAAGAGAAGGCCAAAGAAGATGCCAAAACAGGCTGGATGACGATGCTGGAGCATTCTAGACCTGTGTTTAGGTCTTTTTGCGGTAGACCGGTAGACCTGCTTCGAGGCAAAGAGAAAAAGGCCAAGCGCAGTACCAGCCGAAAACGGAGAGCTGCGAGAAGTCGTTCATGTCTCGGAGAGCTGCGAGAGTGACGAAGCGTCTATGCATCTTCGAATTCTCACGCTTGCCCAGTGCTTTCCAAGGAAGTCGCAGCAAGGACAAGAAAGACCGTGACCGCTGCTGGACTGCACAGAGGAACAAAGCTAAACACGGAAGCGATGGTCGGGATTTGGACAGATGTTCTCTTACTTGTCGCTGTTTTTCCTGCACGCAAACTATCCCGCGATAGGGCAATGCCAATGATTTCTTGCCCCAAAAAACATATTACGAAAGCCAGCCGATAGGCTAGGCTTGAGCTTTTAGAGCGAACGAAGTGAGTTAAGGGGGTGTGGGGGGAGGTCGCGAAAAGGCACAATTTGAGAGGGCGAACCCGGAGCTTGGTGGGGGAGAGCGCTCCAAAGCGAGGGTCAGAAAAGCAGTGAAAATGGGGTCTGGTGATACGAGTGATGCAATGGACGCCGAGTAGTGCATCATTGGCATCATGAAGCGCTTCGGAGGCTATTTGGACAATGGGCATTGAGCAATCGAGTGGAGACAGGGACCCACGTACAGAGCAGACCGCCGCCGCATGTAGGATTTGAGTTCCCAGGACAACCCGTAACTCGCGAGGTCCATAGAGAACCGAAAGTGACATGAGTTCAAGTCCATGAATTTGGATTGAGCTTCGGTGGGGATGCCTGCGAGGTTGACTACATATCTGCATAGGGCTCCTGCCCCCTAGCTAAACCTATACTTGGACCACTTCCCCCCCGCGTCCACACTCACCGAGTGTTTTTCCGGCTTGCCGTACAGATAGATAGATAGATAGATAGATAGACAGACAGATAGATACATACATAGATAGATAGAGAGATAGAGATAGAGATAGAGAGAGAGAGAGAGACAGAGAGAGAGAGATATTTTTGCTGGCAGCCCTGGCCGAATCCAATCAGCCTGGGTCCACGGCTCAAAGGTCTACACACGCAGGTGCCAAAGTCAAGGCCTCTGAGTGAGAAAAGCGCAGAGTTGATAAGAAAGAGAAGAATAAAGAAGGTGTTTGGATCGCTTAATAAGGCCCCTTTAAAGGAAAAAGGCTGTGTTTTGGATCGAGCCAGGACATGACTCACTCAAGTCCAGGCATGTGCATCGATAGGCACACAAATCCTCACTCCTTTGCTAGCCCAAGCGCCGCGGGATCAAACGCCCGTATCCCGGCTAAGACGTGCCAGTTCACTCTTCCAAATCAACGAATGCCGTTTTTTTCGACGTGCCGCAGTATGCATTGCAAACTTCAAACACTCCAAATGTAACAAACACATTATATACACTTGCTGAGGGAATGTCATTCACCAAAGTTCACAGAGATGATTTTTGTTTGTTGAGTTTCCCATGTCAAGGGTAGACAGGACATTGGTCGCGCTGAACTGTCTGCAATCACAGGTTCAAGTTTTGAGTACACCTTTCCCTGGGTCAAGGAACCATGCGACACCATCAGGTGAATCAGTGCTGACTCTAATTTTCACAGATTATATGAGCACACACATTTCCATCCAACTTCTGCACATTGAACTTCTTCGGATGCTACCTTATACTCGGTGGTTAACGTCCAGTCCCACAGTCTCTTGACACAGCACTGACAATTTTGAGTTGCATAACGTCCTAGGCAATGACTCTGCTGATGAAGCTGCTAAGAAATGCCGGCTAGAAGAGCGTGAGCAAGCTAGATTATGCTATTTATTTGTTTAATTGTATCTCATACTGCAGTTGAGTACATTTCACACAAAACTTCGTCAAGAAGAAGAGAAGAAGCAACAATCGACCATAGCCTCCCTTGGCATCCCTTTTCACAAAACCAGCCGACTTGCATGCGTTCATTGCACGGGCTTGTTCATGGGGTTCTGAGTGTGCACAGAAAGTTTGGCAGTTTTTATCACCCAGATCATTTCATTGATCCCTCACTTTACCCCCTATTTGGAAAAAGGATCACAGCGGCATAAGTTGACCTCAAGTGTTTTTCTCGTCCCTGACTGAAGCAAAAATTCTTCCACCACACTGCCGATCAATGACAGCGCAAGCTGATGCCGTCCGGTTTATTGCGCAGTTCTTGTGCAAATCTGTCAACTATCAGATTTTCCCACTCACGCGAAATGCAACTTCATGAGCATGTTGCAAGTGGGTTCCATACCACTTTTGTCGCAGGTTGGCCAGTTCGTCCAAGTTATCCCAAGATGGCATTGATGCTCCAAGAAATTCGAAGTTTCTTGATTTTGATCAACAATCTGACAATCTCTGCCCGCCACATTCAATTGTGCATACAAGCTAACGATGGAGTCTTGCTTGAGTGTCAAGATAATGCTATACAATTTCAGATTTGACCATCGCGTCAAATCGTAGGCACAGCTCTGAAATGCCATGCGAAAGCATGAGTCTTTTGATGACCACCTACTTCACGTCTTAACGTGAGTGTGCCTTTCAGTTCGTGTCCTTCGGTCTTACTGCGAGCCACGGGTCTGTCATGGCGTGCCCGTACATGCCCGTGTTGTTAGTTTTCTGGTCGGGTATCTCACCTAAGAGGCATGAGGTAACTTCAGATTGAGCGTTGCAATTGGAAGAGTGTGCAAATGTTCAAGATTCTCGTATGAGGTGATAGAAAAGCTCGTAGAAGCAGAAGCAGAAGGCGAGAATGCACCCTCATGTGTGACGGCTGCAAGTGTTTTTTCTTTTTTCAGCACATGTTCCGGACGATCTTTCGTGCCGAGCCCGCAACATGGCATGACTTGTTGAGATTCTTCAGTTTCGTCTCTGGAACCTATTCAGATTTGATAATGTCTAGGCGGAGCCGGGGTCGCCATAGACATTCGCCGTTGCCTCATGACTGACGAGATGATTGCGGTTTCAACACCCTCGTTGCAATACTGTATGTTCCCAAAAAGACCCAAGTCTAGCATCTTCACACATGAATTTAACCTCACATGGTCCATCTTCGGAATTCAGGTCGTCCTCTCGAAAGCGGAAGGCTTCTGCTTTGCTCTCAGATGGTGGCTCAAGTTTGTGGGGTCCTCTTACCAATGCTGCACCAAGTCATCCGAAAAGCCAGTCAAGAGAAGAAGGTGCCGTTTCCAGAATGCACAAATGCACAACCATTGTCATCCTGCAAGGAGTGTCGATTTGATTTGGGACCTGTTGCATTTTGTGTCTTATTGTGTGCAGGGAAGGCTCCAAAGAAAAGGTGAAAGAGGGCAAAGAGAAGAAGGCAAGCTGCACACCCTTTGTCACTGTGGCCTTTGGCATGTCCAGCTCCATTTGTGAGGACAAAATCAAAAGAAAAGAGAAAGGCAGAGAAGGGCACAAGAGGAAGAAGGCTAGATGTTTGGCCTCCTTGTGTTCTAGGCCGTTTACATATTCGACATTTAGAACACAGGAATCTAAGAAGGAGGAAGAGAGTCACGAGGAAGAGGTGGGGCGCTCAGAGATGAAAAACTGTGGGGACTGTAGGGGCCTCGTCCGACCCGAACACCGATTTTTTCATCATCAAGAAGCAAAACAAAGCGAACAAACTTGGAAGCTGAGAATCACAGCGAAACGAATTCTGCAAAACAAAAGGCGGCTCCGGCATCGCCTGCCTCTGTGTCATCCTCTGACCTCATCGGTGCGGGCTTCAGATTTGGTGTCAAAATGTGGACATCAAAGCCTCATAGAGCCTATATGTCCTGACTGCAATGTAATTTCAATCCAAGACTGTTGCACTAGATGGCGCCAAGCGTTCTTGTCAATAGAGGGTCGAATAGGTCAAAAGTTTAACCAAGCCCTTGCGCAAAAAGATTACAGTAGAACAACTGGCCGCAGGCTGCGGGGGGAATTTAACAGCAAGCCTCAAGAAGTGTGTGTTGGCCAAAAGAGACAATTTGTAAAGACGGCAGTTCTACCAGTGCTACCTGCTACCTTCCCGAAGGCACCTTTGGGCCAAAAGAGATCCGAACCATCAGCCAGCAATGCGCCCGTTCTTCACTCAGGCCTCTCCAAGAAGGCGCCAGTGGCGAACTTTTCGGCTGGGAACTTGACTCTTAAATCGTTGTTCGCTTCGTTGGCCTCCTCCTACAAGACG